TTGGGCTCTTGAGAAGAATGAATTAGTGTACAAATGAATCTGTTTGTCAGTTTGCCTTTCTGTTTATACTGATAAGATTTATGGATAAGCTCACTCTTATGGGCATCGTGCATTAAACAAAGTAGAATAATCAGTTTGTCATGACTTTTATAGCGGCGTATATAATTCCAAAACACTCATGAGCAATCACTCGTGCAAAACAAAAGGAAAACAAAAACAAATCCAAACAATTATGATTTGTTTGAGAGCCTAAGGTTACCCTCTCATATTGTATGCATCCTTTCAAATGTGAAATTACTTGAAGTGCAATCAAAGCAATAAGTCTAACAGGAAACAGATCACACTCCTCTAGAACAAAAGGCTGTTGTGCTCTTTGACACGGTAGTAAGCAAAATTAAGAAGATTTGCTGTGCCATTAACATGAAACCAGCTGTAACTGTTAGACATGTGGGGAGGAGCCCGAGGCAACATAAGATACAACAACCTTCCTAAAGACATTCACTACAACTTGGACCTCAATTCAAGTTATTATGACCGTAAAATCCAGCATTACGTTAGCATATCATCACTACATCGCCACCTTTTGGCATACATGATAACTCTGTTTTCAATTATTCTCCAATTCATTATTATAAAAATGAATTTTTCACACTATTGAATTATTTTGTGTTCACTTCAAAACCATCTGAATAACTGAAGAGTATTTACATTTGTAATTTAAATTTAAATTCATCTCTGTATTCCCCAGTAAATAGTACTGTCTTAAAACAAGTACTTGACCAAATGGTCTCGACCAGTCATATAGATAAAGATTCAAGATTATCTCCAGGACTTAAGAAGTCTCTTGAATTAAACTAGGACAGTCCAGTTGACTTAAGTATTGGGCCAGATACCAATACCAGTATCAGTTTCAGTGTATCCCTAGTTCCAGTCAGTGAACCATAGAGTGGAATCTCAAGTTAAGGTCAGATGAGAAAAGAGTGTGATGTGAGGTCACGTGTTCAAGTACGAGGCCAAGTCATTTCAGAAGAGTTTCACACCAGTCAGCTGGTTACTGGGTCAGAGAACAAGTCACTAAAACTTTTGGGACTTTTGTCTCTAAGGTTAAGGTTAACACGTCTTGAACAAAGACAAAAAAAAAAAAAAACAGGAACTCTGTTGTTGGTCAATCAAACATCTGAGGAAGTTAGCCAACAACACTGACAGCACCCAGCAGAACTAGAACTGATCAGGCTGGGGGGTCAGTCGGTACTTTTAATGCCATTAGTAATGGGACGAGAGAGAGAGAGAAAGAGAGAGAGGGAGTCCCTGCGTCAGTGAAAGGGATTGAAGCACACACTGGTTGGCCTGTCTTCCACAGTGACTTCAGTGGCCTTGTTCCACTCTGTGAAGTTCATCAGAGTTCATCTTTTTGTTACTGCTGAGCTGAGGCTGCTCACTGTCCTCATCCTTGTCTCCCTCATCTCTCCTCACCCCCGTTCCTCCCCACGCCTGCGTCTATCAGGAATCCCTTGGGGGTAAAAACTGCCTACACACACACCACTTCCTGCCCCTGCCTGTCCCCCACTGGCCTCACTGTGCCTCACCCTCTGGTCTCTGAGTACAGCCTCTTTTTGGTGATGTCACTGTAGGGGAGTTCAGCCTTAGTGAGTGTGTGTGTGTGTGTGTGTCTATGCTTGTCATTGAAAAGGGGCCTGTATGTGTTTGTGTGTGTCAGTGACAGAGGGACAAGAGAGGTAAAGAGGGGGGTAAAGGTAAAGAGAGTAGAAGAGAGAGGTAGAAAGAGAGAGAGAGGATCGACAGACAGTAGAAAGAAAGGCAGGAGTGTCAGGTTTCCCTTTTCAATTCAGAGGCACTCCTTGGTTTTAATCTAGAAAAAAGGGTGAAAAAAGCAGGAAAGAAGAGGAGATAGCTGGGAACTTGAGCCAGTGACAGCTGCTTTTTGTCCCTTCCCTCCTCACCCTTCTTTCTTTTGTTTTTGCCTCCCTCTTTTTTTTTCTTTACAGTTTAAAACCCCAGCCAAAAAAAGACAGCAGCTGAGAGCAATTTTTTTTTACAGTATGTTATCAGGCAGAAAAAAATACTTCTGTCTTCTGTAATCTGTCTTCTTTCCACTGATGATAGCATTTACTTCTCGAATAATGTTTTTCGCTCTTCCTGTTACGTTTGACTTACCACATCCTGGTTGTGAATTCAAATACCAACCAGAGTGTCTGCAGTTTTTTTTCTTGTCAGCTTTTACTTTACTCACACGAGAGACATATATTTTTCTCACAGTGCCAGCCTAAGTGGGCACACATACCGATCGTACGACAAAAAGATCTATATAATCATGGTAGGCTACTGTCCAATTTGTGGGAAGCCAGTCTACTTTGGTAAGTGTGACGTCTCTTTATTCACCCAGTAGTTTGCATTTCCCTGCTTGGTATTTATCAAATGGCTCAATTTTCATTCTTTCTTGAGTTCTTTTTTTTTCATGCATTAAATACATAAAACATAAATCATCACAATTGATATACTAGTGGAGTTTGGTTGGATGATAAAAAAAGTAAAAAAATATCTCCGACACCGTGAGACCTAAAATGACTGTTGTCCAAAAACAGTGAATATGGAAAAACATGATAATATAATTGTACGATTTTTTAAAATAAATTATTTATTCAAAATTGTATCCAATAACTAAAAGTGCCTTTCCATTTTTTATATTAAAAAATGTTCAATTTCAGGTGTGGTGAGGTTAAGATTGTTTGGACATGAACTTAGGAGTAATAATAGATATACTGGAGAAAAGTATACTGGCAAATGAAGCTGCTAAGCGAGAGGAAAGAGCAAGACCTCAGAGAAGAAAGACCTCAAGGATGTATGGACGGGGGGACATGGAGATGGTTGGGGCAAGGGAGAGGCTGAGGTGGGGGCAGATGATCCGCTGTGGCGACTCCTAAGGGGGAGCTGCTGACACAAGGAGAAGAAGTGATGTAGAATTTTTGTTGTATCCCATTAATATGTAATGTATCTGTGTAATACAGTGTTTGAATAAATCCTACAAGAACTAGGCCATTTCTACTATGCTTATTTGGCCCTGCGCTTTGTCTGCTGTGTTGAAAAATCATCTTTACTCTAAAAAAAGACCTTGTTACCCATTTTGATGTGTGCTATAAAAAGAGGTAGGTTTAATTGGAGGACAAAAAAGACTATCCTTTTCCCTTTGCCTCTCGTTCTCTCTTTCTGGCTTTCTGCTTCTCTTTCAAGCACACACAAAGCACATGCACGTATCCCTGATAACAACAGGATGTGGCTCTAGCCAAACTTGCATGCACACGGCTCTCTGGGTTTCCTCCTCACCTTCTGTCTCTTTTTGTGAAGTCCTATCCCACACTCCGACTTTACTGTTAGATTCACAACAGCACTCGAAGCCACTATTCAAGTCTACTTGAATAGCTGTTCTTTTGCTGCTAGTTTTACTTTCCGATTCAAGTGCCAGCAAAGTTCAAATTCTCCGGTGTGACCTGGCCTACTTACCTCTTTTTCCTCCAACACCCCACTCTCTGGCCTATTTGTGCTGAAGAGAGTGACGGTCTCTATACTGCACCAGAGTCCCAAACCACAAAGTCATTTTTGGATGAAAATGTCCCAAATCAACTGATATCTACGCTGTTAAGGGTAGGGGAGTTTGTACACAGGCTTGAGAATACAAAGAATGTGTGACTCTCAGTTTGCGTGACCCAATATCAGGAAGAAAAAAGCCAGTTGCTCATTAAAACTGCCCTCATCTTTCTTGGGTCTAGCTGAGAGGAAGAGGTCCCTGGGGAGGGACTACCACCCCCTGTGTCTGAAGTGTCATGTTTGCAACAGACAGCTCACAGCTGGACAGCACGCCGAGGTACAGTATATGAGGACAAAGGCAACAGAAACCCATGCAGCATCTAAATAAATGATTTGAAGTGACTAAACGTGTCTGGTTAATTGTGTTCCAGCATGACGAGAAGCCGTACTGTTCATACTGCTACATAAAGGAGTTTGGGCCAAGAGGTAACACACGCACACAGTCTATAGGTTTGAGTACTAGTGGTATATACTGTATATATAAACAAAAAATATCCCTTCCTCAGCAGTACCGACACAGGCTGTTGTAGACCTATGACACAGATCAGTATGTTATCTAAGTGTGGGGTGGCACTGTAACTACTTATCGAGATAGACAAGGCATTGTTACACTGTGATCGAATGAATAATTTCTTGTTGGTTCGGTGATGTTACTGCAGCAGGGACATTACCTAGTGCTGTAATATATCACAGATTGGATTAATGTGCACATTTCTTTCCCTCTTTTGACAGGCAACAGGTGACATTTCCTTCTGCAGGAACCAGACCTATGGATGGGTGTATGGAGAACATGTTATTTTTATTGTTTTTATTGATGACAACATTAATTATGTAATAGGTTGCAAGGACCACTGAGTGTCAAATGAATGTGTTCATGATGTTACATTCGAGACAATTATACTGTAGAATAATAAATGCAGATGTATGTGGTTGGACAGTGTTTCGATATGTTGAGTCTTTGAGAAGAGATTTGTTTTCACCTGTCAATCCAACAGCAGTTTGGGTGGAATTTATTCAACACTACCCCAAACACCAAACACAGCACATACTATACATAACTCTGTTTTAAAAGTAGATATGTATTCATAATTTGACAAAAAGCCTGACATGAAACACCTGGTAATAACCAGTTACAGTAAACAGGTAAACTCTCCAACAGTAGCTTTGTTAAGAGACATGCCGGCGTTAGATTCAGATGTCATGTTTTATCATTTACTTTCATCTAAAGTGGCCTGGAATGGACACATTTGGCATTGTGGTTCATTTAAAAAAAACCATTGTCATGTATATAGTATTACTATACATGACTTATTCCATTCAACCTGAGGTGAAGTTGGTTCTAGGGCTCTCTCTGCACTGATCAAGCAAACAGAATAGCAGGAAGGGAGGGAGCAACTATGGAGCGGGGCAGTTGCTGCAGGTGGAATGAACTAATCTTACTCCTACAGAATGTAATGCAGCTGAAGTGAAGACTTTGGTTTGCCCTCTCTCCCTGACCCACACAAATACACAGATAGGCAGAAAAGGAAAAGAGAGAAAGAGAGAGAGAAAAAGACAGAGTTGGAGAGAGAGAGAGTGAGACAGATGCTAATGTACATCCCTGTAAAGTGTCATAAGTCACACACACATTGACATGTGACAGTGACATTTCTGGTTTTGTCCTTGAAAACGTCAGGATGAAGAAATTGTAGGTGAAGAAAAATAAGGGAAGAAATTGAGAAGGAACGCTGATGGACAATTGAAAAGCTACCTGATTGGATTAAACGAACATCCTGCAGCTTGTCTGTGAACCTGTCCATCTTCCTCTCAAGCTCTCAAATCCTTCCTTCATCCTCCTCCCACCTTCACTCCCCTCCCGCTCCCTACTGTCTCCTTCACCCCCTAACCCCCTACCTTGATAGATCACATCACGGCTGTGATACCAGCTGGCTGGCTGCTCATTTGCATGTGTTTCAGCTACTCCCTTATTAGAGAGCCGAGGTGGTGAAGAGGGGGCCGTGTTATAGGCGGAGAGAGGCTGAGGGTTAAGGGGGAGCGTGGCGCTGTGCAGACTGCTGGGTGATTGAGGGCTACTGAGAGAATAGAAAGAAAAAAGAAAGACCATTAATTTACAGGCGAGAAATGGAAAGCGTTGAAAAAGTAAAGTACAGGAATAGAAAATTACTGCATTAGGTGTGGCAAAGTTAAACGCAGAGGTTATTTGGACTGCATTAACACACTTTGGATATGACCTAAAAATGTGAGCCAATTAAAACCGATCATTATGTTATCACAGCACTAAAAGGACTTTTTCTTTTGTAATTTTATGTATTAAATTATGTATTAAATGTAGAAGTTGCCTGTGTTGAGGCAAAGAATTGCACATGTATTGGAGATTATAAAAGAAGAACATAATTATTAAAGATACCTTTGGTTGATATGGAACAACACTAAGAATGGTACGTTGGAATGTATACACAGAAGAGATAAGAACAAGCGCAAGTAATGAGGTAGAGGGAGCAAGATAAGTGTGGTGGGTAGAGTTAGATAGAACAGGTAGGTAAATATGGGGTGTCCGAGGGTTAGAAAGTTGAGGCGCACATTTGCGTAAGAAAATGCTTGGGTGGCATGTGGGTATGTATGTATGTTTGTATTTATGTATTGAGAAATAAATAAATAAATAGATAAATAATAAATAAATAAAAAGACACAGACAGATAGATATTGGGAAGGAAAACGAGAATCGCTATTCAGTTCACGGGAAGTAAGAGAGTATTCATTAAATTTTAACCTTTACAGATGCTATCCACATACGCACCTCGATCGACATCTTGTGGCGACAAAATATCTGCTCCGTATCTTTCAAAAGGCACGCAGTTGGGCCACCAAATGGACAGTGAATACATCATTCATAGTCACGTAACAGTGAGCGTTCTCGAATGTTTCGTCTGACTTTTACAGTTATTTAATTTATTCTTTTTTATTTAACATGTGTAGAAATATGAGCATCACTATATGACTATTGTTCAAATATATTAGAGTGACATTTCCACTTACACATTAAAGACAAATTAGCACGGATATAGTTGAAAGCTAAAAATTCCAAACTTCCGTAAGAGCACCCGAAGGCAGCCCAATTGGCCAATGCGGTTATTATCAATGCGCATGCTCAGACTAACAAGGAAGCAGAACGAACCAGAAGGATTATGAGGATTCATCGATAAGGGAAAGCTGCAGCTTTCGAAAAATTTACTGTTTCGGTCTTTAAAATGGAAATCTAACAAGTTATAGGGTAACCTGTGTGAATTATTAAAATAAAGGTATTCAGGCACAATGATGTCAGAATGCGACCCGACAGAGACACAGCCCTGCGAGAACGTCGGAGGGATATTGACGTCAGAGCCGGAATCCAACTTTCAGTCCACGGACACTGCAAACGCGTTATTTGACAGTAACCGGACAGTGTTGGGGCTTACGGCAACCCCCGGAGTTGCTGTCCGTATTTCGGACTCTCGTGAAAGCGTTCTTACAGAGCTGGAGACAGAGGGCTCCGGCGAAGAGACGCTGCTCTTACCGTGTTTAACTGCAGGCTCGTCATCACCGCGTAGCGTGAAAGAGAAGTGGAGCAAGCGGAGCAGACACAGCTCCTCATCGGATAAAGACACCTTAGCCTCTCCAGGTAAATATTTTAGGTTAAGGCCTTACACTCTGTCAGATTAGAGGATTTAACCTCTAATCCGACATAGTGTTGGATATATGGGGCAGTTAGGTCAGGGTACACGAATGCACTGAGGCTATGTCTTCACCATTAATACCGGCAGATGTGGAGATAACAGCTAATGCAACGTAGTCAAAACAGACAGCTTCATGGTGGCATGACAGGAAACCAAAATTACTAGAGGAGAACGTCTGTCAAGCGGTGCAGATCTTTGAAACCTCCCTTATATCCGTGGAAACAGGACAAATTAATTTTGTTGAGATACAAAATATTTTCTTTTTTTTTCCTCTAATGACCGAAATGGCTTGTTTTGTTCAAGCATTATACATTGAAATATTTAAATAGATATTGTTGAGTTGTTTTTAATTGGCCATACATCTGGTAATGTTGATTTGACACATTCTAAATAGAGCTGCTAAGTCACTGGGTTTTATATAAACAGTGTCCGTTCTTTAGAGATAGTGCCTGTACCACAGCAGTGTCTAAAAGTCCAACCATCAATATATCAGTTATGTCAATAACCAGTGAGTGACGATGAAAGTTTCAACCCCTGTTTGCTGAAGACACTGAGATCAAGTTGTGTTTACCAGGCAGCTGATGTAATTGTTATCAGTCTGCACTGATGATGTGGCAATTGAACCTGGAACTAGAAACCTGACTAGTTACTAATTGTTCTGGGTGGAAAGATCAATCAAAGGTGTAGAGTTTGCGTAAGGTTGTACTAAAATAAAGGCAGATATACTGCAGAATTTACTATGATGTTTTAAATGTCTCTGTGTACAGTAGCTCAGCTGTTTTTGACTAATTTGCACAGAGGCCGTCTGGGAGAATTTAAAACAGGAACTTTTGGGGGGAAATGAAGTACCAGAAGAAACTCCATTTTCTAAGTAAATTCCCTTTGAACGTATAGGTTGATGTGAAAATTAGGCTACTTCACAGTTGATAATGGGTACAATGCTGTTTTAAAAAACACTGTCTTTTCAATTCACTCAAATGATGTGGTTCAGTAGCAAGTTTAAAATAATAATGGCATGCTGTTCACATAAAAAAGTAAATATTGTTGTTGTCACCTGGCATCGAACCTGCCATGTTAGAATTGACCAAAAACTTACCAAACACATTCTTGCTTCAGTTCGATAATTATCTTTAATTTAAGTATATCATTTGTTGTTGTCATGTTGCACCATGACAATACGAATAAATGCACAGTGTTTCTGTGTTGTTTGCCCAGCTAGATTAAAGAGCAGCTCAACAGGCAAAGCGAATCAATTGGCCAGTTTGTATGTTGTTTTATCAAGGTTAAATATCTAGGACACAGCTGGCCCGTGAGACTGAAATCGCAGGTGTTAGTGTCCTTTCAGAATAATAGTGCTAGGTTTTAGTTACAACACAGTTTGCATTGTAATGTGGGACTTGTTTCTGAAAGCCTTTGTTTGAGCCAAGCAATTTTTTAGTTTTACCAATCCTACCTTTGTCTGGCCGAAGGACTTTGCTTACGGTAAATTCAATGTTTTTTACTGAGGACTCTCATCAATGCCAATATTTAATTGTAATTAATTTTATGATTGTCCATTAGGAATGTTATGCGAATCTGCTAAAAATCCATACAAATGTGTGACCATTCACGTTGGTTAAAATAAAAATGAGTTGAGCATAAAGGTGTATAGAGTAGGCTGCTAGCTCAAAAAGGAAGTGGTCATACCATGAGACCACACACTCTAGTACAGTAGATGGCGATATGCGCCTAAAAACATTGGTTGTGACCCACTGTTAAATCAAAATGCCAGGTCTCTACGTAGCCTAAGTGACAGCACAAAATATTCTCCAGGATAACCTCAATTAGTATTGAATACTAAACTATTAGCACTTGGAGCATGTTGAGGTATGTGGGGAGATTTTCAAATTAATTATTTGTGGTTTGTTATAAATCTTATGAGTTTGGACAGTAGCACTGTTGGTATGTTTGTGTTGTTCTGGATGGAGTTTATGTTTAAAAAAACAAAAACAAGATGCAGTATAATCCCTAATTAAAGAGCGCTCCCTTTTTGACACTAACAGCAAATTCCAGCAGTACCACCTGTCAGTTTTTTAACTGTCATATGTTTAAAAGAGAAATGAATTTATCCATCATTTGGCTAAACTCTGTATTATCACATGAACATTGGTAGCCCTATTTTTAACTTTTCATCACATCACTGTGTTGCCGCACATCAGAGATATCAAATAGCTTAACCTCCAAATAGTGCAGAACAAGAGCTGCTAATGGCTCCAAATGAGGTTCTCCTTCTGTGTGGTCTCATTCTCCTCAGCAGTATTATTGAGAGCACCATGTGTACTACAGGTCAGCAGGTCCAGAGTACTCTGTGGGAGCTGCTCTCCAGCCACTTTACTGACCATCCAGGGCCTTGAGAGAGGCACATTAAATATGGATAAGGCCACCACCCCAGAAAACAGACAGACAGAACAACCAGTATTACAATACTGCAAGAGGATATGCAGTAGAGCAAAACTGGTATTTGTTTTCTGTTCGATTCTCTACAGGAAGTGAAGAAAAGGGAAGTATTAAATGAGTTATACTGCAGGTGTCACATTGATGTTGTCATTGACTGAACCAGCAGTTCATCTGTATATCTTTTATGGAAGTCAAATAATGACTTGAATGGATGATTTGAAATTTATGATGATATATCAGCAAATATGTATGAGCAAACACTCACACAATACAATATTACTGTTGTGATCTACAGAAAAACATTCTACACTTGGATTTACGTTTATATTTCACTGTCATCTGTTGAGCTGATTCTGGGACGATTCTGGGACTTGACCTGTCTGTGGGAAAGATTTTTAGTTTCCCTGATCCTGATTGTTGAAGACCATAGGAAAAAAACCCAAAACTCTCCACATGTTCCGCAAGACACCATTGGTGCAATCAGCTACTGTATTATAAATCAGATTGAAAAAAAGATGTAATCATTTGACTAAAACTAATTTCTACAGTTAGGACATCAGTCTGGTTTTTAAAACAGGGTGAGTGAGGCCAAGTAGGAAAAACTGCCAGAAAACGACATTAATTCTTCATGCATTCCACGTGATCAGATCTGTTAGGCATCACGTGAATATTGAATCTGACAAGAGCCATTGTATTAACTTAATGCACAAATTGTGTGACTAATGGGGAGATATGTCAGCAATTTGATGCATTTTAATTCTTGGATGGATTGAGAGT